AGTAGCCTGCATGAAATATTTCATTATAGAAATAAAAAGGCTGACGGTCACACCACATTTTCTTACCTATCTCCCATCGATAGACAAAAGGCATCAACTTTTAGCTATGACAAAACTGGTTCAAAAAGATTTGGGAAACAGTGGAGTTAAAAGATGTGCAGATTTGTGAACATTTTACCCCCTCATGTTTTTCTAAAGAATCTTCAGTTTTCCCCATTTTAAATTTAATTTGCTTTAAAATTGAGCCACAAATGTTCTTTATTCTAGATCTAAGTCTTCTGATATATGAGAATATTTTTCCCTACTCTGTATCAAATGGAAAGAGACCATGAAATGTGGAGATTAAAAAATATTTCTTTTTAAGAGAAACAGATTAAAGAAAGTAGATTCAGAATTTTTAGATCCTTAGTTAATAACCAATTCTGGAGCGAGACTCGCTTAGTACTACTTTGGACATGTTCCTTAACCTTCTATGCCTCAGTTATTTCTATAGATTAGATGACCCAGACCATATAGTAGTACTCAGTCCATAGGCTTCTTATGGTGGCAGAAAAAAAAAATAGTTAATACATACAAGTACTGAAAAAGTATTAAAGTATTACATAGTAAGGTCAATGCTGTATAGGTCTAATAGAACTAGTACTAATAGGTAACTTGGAAATGTGAAAATTTGAAATAAACTTCAATGTTGTGGGACCCAATTCTTTAAATTCCCTGGGGTTTTTGTCCACCATGTGTACTGAGTGACACATGTTCAATTAGTTCAAGAACTCAACCATCTTAATTGTAAAGAATTTTAGGACATAGCACTTTTCATCTAGTTTCACCTGCACGACTTGAACTCATAGAGGAATGAGGGAGGAAAGAACATGATGTTATGAATTTGCTACAATCTGAGTTTATTCCAAAATAAAATGTACCAACTCAGAATACTGCTCTCTCCCCTTCTTCCTCCCTCTGAGAAATAACAACAGCAACAATAACTGGGTACGGACCGACAAAGGCAGCTTTACTCAGGATCACAGATGTAGAATTACCTGTGTTTCTCCTCTCTTCTTGCTACCTGCTCTTATCCCACTTTGCATCAATATTACCTTTGAATGTCTTAAATTAGTCTCACCCAATTTTTTTTAAGATTATTTTCTTGAAAGAGGAACTTAGATCTTTCATCCAAAGGTTCACCTGTCATGTGGGCGGCAGGAACCCAAATGGTAGAGCCACCAGTGCTCTGCTCTTTCCAGACCATTAATAAGGAGCCACATTGGAAGTGGAGAATTTAAACAGTGCCCAGATGGGATTCTCACATCACAGGCAGTGGCTTTACTCGAATCATCACAGAGCTAGTCTCTTTTTCTACTGCCACTTGATACAGCCTGGTAATTTTTTACATAACAGTTTCCCCATTTTGAGCCTTTTGTCTGTAACTGCAAAATTAAATCTGAATGCCCAAGTAAGACTTGCTGTGAGTTGGCCCCCTCCACCTCTAACACGATACTTTACTACTTTAATGTACTTTTGTTTAAAGCAGAAATGTCATTTCTAACATCCTTCCCTCTCCACAACACCATTTCCTCATTTTTTTTTTCCTTTAAATTTTACTTCTCTCTAAAAGGGCCACTCCGAATCCCTTTTTTCTCCACAAATCCTTTCCCATCCCTCCCAATACCCTCAGCAAGAAGATATTATACCTTCTTGGGTCTTGTAGCACTTAACGTATTTTCATCTTGCTTCATATCACTCGTAAAGCTGTAAATTCCTCAGTGTTACCAACTATTTTGTACATGGATCATTCTCAACCCATAGATCTAGCTTTATCAACACACAGGGAAGGTAATGTCTTTAAGTCCCAATATTATAATTTTAAAATATGAGAAATTCCACTTATTTTTACAGAGGTAAAAAATGCAAAAAATATTCCTTTGTTTGGCAAAGATTAAATAAATGTTCATCTTTTCTTTCCCTAATTTTTCCCATAGTACCCTGATAATAGCTAAAGACAAAATTCAGCAAGTAGTGATGGTAAAGTTTAATAGCGTCTAAAGGCATGGAGAACTTGAATAAAGCATTGTTACGGGTTAGGAAAATGAAGAAATGCCTGGAAATAAAAACCAGAGTAGCTGAGACTTACTAGAAAACTGACAGGGAGCTTGAGAATGTGGTGCTAGTTATTAGAGATAAGAACAAAACACCTGCTGGGTGAGGTAATTCATGGTAACCCCAAGTTTCTTACCTCAGTGTACAAGATTGCTTTTTAGAAATGGTAAGTCTGGTAATAAGGGCTGAACAGGGAGGGATATTATTTTTCTATTTTAGTAAACTTTCCACTTAAGCTTTGATTGCCACCAAAAAACGGTATTAATCTGTTCTTATTAGGGACTTACAATTAAAAAGTTAAACACTATCACCACAAATCCTGAATCAAGGAAGTTTCTTCTTGCTTTGCTGAGGCCATATTTTAGACAGCTCAAAATGTTGGAGATGCCATATGTAATAAATTTAATATCTAAAGTTATGCATCATTTAAAAAAGAAAGATTTATTTATTTGAAAATCAGAGTTACAGAGCCTCCACTCACTGGTGAATTCGCCATGGTAAGGCTGGATCAGACTGGAGCTGGTTCCTCTGGGTCTTCCCCATGGGTGCAGGGGCCCACGCAGTTGAGCTATCTTCTCCTTTCCCAGGCACATTAGCAGGAAGCTGGATCAGGAATGAAACAGCTAAGACTTGAATTGGAGCCCATGTGGGTTCTGGCATTATATATGGTGGCTTTACAAGCCATGCCACAATGTCAATCCCCTATCAAGTTCTTTTCAGAATGTTTTTGGCATGCAAGTACTCTCTTGAGGCTCATCATACATTTAAGCAAACCTATTTAACCTATATCCTGGAGCTAAAATTATAAAGAGCAGTATAACAGTTTATGGAGCTTTAAATTACAAAGTCATATACTTTTGTGAAAGTGAATTCAGATGTGTACATTGAGCGGAGTATTAAGTGTTCTCTGTCCCTTGCCTCTCACTTCCCAGTTCCTTGTTCCATTTAGGTTTAGTAAATATCTTTCCACTTGTCTCACTGTTGATGTTTAGCTAACAAAAATGATCAGTCTGTCAGATCAGTCTGTCAGATTTACTGATTTCATAAATCAGTATTGTTATCCTGCATCTGCTAATCACTTCAAGGATACAAGCAATGGAGGGATTCAGGTGAGGCAGGGAGGTGTTTGGTACATGGAAAGTGACTCCTGAGACCATGATTTCCCACTCTGGTCCAGAAAAACAGATGTTTCTAAGTGAGGTTTCCATTTCACACTTGAATCAAGCATTGTTTGGGGATAGAAAAATGAAGGGAATGTGAACCAAATCCATATTATAACCCAGGGAGTTAGAAGATGAGACATTGTTCAAGGAGCTGTGCCTCACAGGTTTTGGAATACTTATTATCAACATTTATTTGGATTTATTTACCCTTAGCAGGTACATCTTGCTAAGGGTATATTAGAGATAAAGCTCTTTTATTGATGTAAATATCATCAGAGTGTTCACTATGATAATATAGAAAATATAGATATAAGCAGAGGTCTAGATTTCCACTTATCTTTCTCCCCGTGATCCCAGTAAAAGAAAGTGACTGGATCATAGACCAGCTGCACTAATTCCTTCCTTATATAAATACATATGAATATGTTTAACTTTAGGTTGTATTTGTTGGGTTGTTTTGTTAAAATTGGATTTTATGATCGATACAATGATAGAAAGATAGAATCTTAGATCATCTTTTCCCTCGCATGCAGATATTTCATCATCACATGTGATGCCAATTCATTCATTTAAAGGTCAACCTAAAATTAATTTGACACCACATGATTAGCTTCTTAATCCATTTTGTAGAATTCCACAGACTGAGTAGTTTATGAAAAGAAATTTATTTCCCACAGTTCTGGAGGCTGTGAAGTCCAATATCAGGATGCTTACATCTGTGAAGAGCTTGCTCTGCCATCCCATAGCAAGGAAGATGAAAGGGTGATAGAGTGCGTGCATGCACACTCAGGAGATGCAACCCACAGCCTCCAGACCTTACGTAACTGACATTGATCCATATGGAGCTTTTGTGACCTAAACACTTGGCCCAACCTCCCAACAACATTTGTTGAGGATTAAGTTCTTAACACATGCCTTCTGCAGGACACATTCAAACTGTGGCCATATCCTACTTCAGTCAACACTGGCTGGCTATAAAATAAATTCAACCCAGTAAGGAGCTATAAATTATGTATAGACTTCAGTGTAAATCTAATAGTTTGGGAATAAATTATGATGATAATGAGAAAAACTTAAAGAAAGCTGGCTTTGAGAGCCTGTCTGAAACACATAAATTTCTGTAGTCATCTCTTACTATGGGAGAAAGTTGCCAATCACAGGCAAATGTGGTTTGTGGCTGTATCATGTGGTTCTCACATGGGATTAGTGGAATTCAGCTGTCCCTTATATAAAACGACATCACATTTGCATTTAACCTGCACACATACCTTATAGTTGTGAAGTTGTATGTCTACAGAATGATGACAGAGAGCCTACATATTCAGTACATATGTCGTTTTTAAAAAATAGATTTGCAATGTAGAACCTGTGGACACAAGAGACTGATGGTAACTAGGATAAGTAGCTAGCTATCTTAAAATGAATTGCATTTCTTGAGATTGCTTGCTTTATACAAACCAACATCCCAAGACTGGATTTCTGAGCCAAGCCTTTCAATATTGGTACCGCAGCTCATTTCCATGAAGACCAAGTAAATTTCCTTCAGAATGATATTTTCTGGACCCAGTCAGTTATGTTATCATGTTAAGTATTAACAATTTTAAAGTTGCCATACTAGTGAGCCTTGAAAGCAGTTAGGAAATCCAGGTTTTAGATGGTACTTTTAATGATACTTCTTGTTGAAGATTGCAATCACCCTAAATGGCTAATATGATGTCTCCCCACCCTGTGTTTCATTTGCAGATCCACATTGGATAAAGGGTAAACTTGTTACAGATTCTCTCTTTAAAAGGCATCTGTGCAGTAGTGCAATTTGAATAATAAAGTATTTCACTTTAAAAGGTAGGTGAAAAATAAGGAGCATGTGTCCTACAGATGCTTTTAAAATATAGCCGGCAAACTTCATATTCTTGATTTTGTTTAATCCTTCTGAGAGCCCTGCGAGGGAGATGGAATTGTCTTTTTCATTAATGAAGACAGCTCAGAAAAGGAGAAAACATGCTGATTTATCTTCAGGAATTCAGGTTTGAATCCAGGAGTTTCTGATGCAAGTTTTTCCTCGCATCATTCTGTCTTCTGCTGTATCCAGAAAGCTACCCTGTCCTTAACTTTTGTAGTCAGCATAAAAGAAGCATTATAAAGCTTACATAGGAAACTATTAGCATAAATTGAGAGATATTAGAGCCCTCCAGAAGCTTGTTTTACAGGAGTTGAAAATCATAAGCACAGTCTGTAGCAGTCTTATTCATAATTCTTAGCCTTTCTTTTTAATATCTTTTAAAATTTATCTGAAAGGCAGAGTTACAGAGAGGAGAGACAGAGATCTTCCATCTGCTGGTTCACTTCCCAGATGTCTGCAGTGTCCATGACTGAGGCAGCTGGAAACCAGAAGCTTGGAGCATCCTCTGTGTCTCCCACATGGGTGCAGGGTCCAAGGACTTGGGCCATCCTCTGCTACTTTCTCAAAACATTAGGAGAGAACTACATTGGAAGTGGAGCAGCCAGGTCTCATATTGGAGACCGGCATTGCAAGTGGAGGCTTAACCTATGTCATAGCACCAACCCCTCCCTAATCCTTCTGTTGAGGCACAAAATTATAGGGGCTAGAGCAAGACATAAAATGTCTGGTGGTCTTCCTTCATTAGCTTGTAGCTCTAGAAAGAGATCCACAAACGTTGCCACTCTCCTTGACTTGTCCTGGGCAATGAATGAGACCTGATTCCAGCGTTCTTTATTTTCATGCCATATAACCTCAGTCTTTACCATCTTTCCTACATAATGGTCCCATACAGAAGGAATAGTCTTTTGTATACTACTATTTGTGTATACCACATTACCCTAATCTTTCCTACTCACTCTTTTCTTGCTCTTACACATGACTCAGCTTTTGAATCTCGTGAATCCCTGATATCTGGGGCACTAAAAGTATTAGGTATATTTATTTACGAATAAGCATAAAGCCAGGGCTGGCATCATGCTGCAGCAGGTTAAGCCACTGCCTGTGATTTCGGCATCCCATGGGTATCCATTACACCCCAGCTGTTCCATTTCCAACCAAGCTTCCCAGTAAAGTACCAAGGAAAGCATGATTCCCAAGTACTTGGGCCCCTGACACCTACATGGAAGATCTAGATGGAATTCAGGGTTCCTGGATTCAGCCTGGCCCCATACCACCTTTTGTGCAGCTCTGGCCATTGCGGCCGTTTGGGGAGTAAACTAGCTGGTGAAAGACTAGCCTCTTGCATGCTCGCTCGCTCTCCCTTTCTCTCTCTCTCTCCTTTTCCTTCTTTCCTCCATCCCTTGCTCTCTTCTCTCTATATAATTCTGCTTTTCAAATAAAAATAAATCTTCAAAAAAAAGCATAAGGTCATCTGTGCTGTTTCAGAGAACTCATCCAGCTGGTTTTCCTTACGAGTAGTAATCTTGCTAGACATTGCAAGTTTGAATTCATACTTGAGAACAGTGTACACTGGTTATAGTTCTATCCTAGCCATCAATTGAGCACTCAGCTTCACCATAATTACTGGACAAGTTACTTATTTCTCTGAGTGTGTTTAGCCTGCTGAATGATAGTAGTCACCTCTGTCTTGTAAGAATCAGGTGAAACCAAATGTTGAGTGTATCTAGTCTATTCTTACTGCCCTGAACCCTGTGACCTAAAGTTCATAAAAAAGTAGAAGCAGAGGGCTTTCGAATCCTTGGACTTAAAATAGTTCTTATATGATTGTAAAATAATACTAAATATAGGAGAATACTAGTGTAAACAGATACAAAAAAATAAAAATCATGTCTAATAATGCTCAAGAGGTGTTGGTTTCCCCATTTTCCTTATATTCATATTTTAGCTTTTTAGGTTTTTTTATTTTAAGGTTTATTTATTTATTTTCCTTGAAAGAGTTCTAGAAAGAGAATGTCTGAAATCTTCCAGCTGCTGGTTCCCTTACCAAATAGCTACATCAGCCAGAGCTTGGGCCAGTCCAAATCCAGGAGCCAATATCTTCTTCCAGTCTCCCACCTGGGTACAGGGGCCCAAGGAATTGGGCTATTGTCACTTCCCTCCCAGGCCATCAGCAGGCAGCTGCATTGGAAGTAGAGCAGCCAGGACTTGAACCGGTGCCCATATGCCAGTGCCACAGGCAGATGATTGTCCTGATATGCTACTACACCAGCTCTTCCACATTTTAGCTACTTTTTAAAAAATATTTATTTTATTTTTATTGGAATGTCATATATACAGAGAGGAGGAGAGACAGAGAGGAAGATCTTCTGTCCGTTGATTCACTCCCCAAGCAGCCACAGTGGCTGTAGCTGCACTGATCCAAAACCTGGAGCCTCTAACAGGTCTCCCATGCAGGGTTCAGGGTCCCAAGGCCTTGGGCCATCCTGGACTGCTTTCCCAGGCCACAAGCAAGGAGCTGGATGGGAAGCAGGACTGCCGGGATTAGAACAGGAGCCCATATGGGATCCTGGCACATGCAAGGCAAGGACTTTAGTCGCTAGGCCACCATGCTGGGCCCAGTTATGATCAGTTTTAAGGTTTATTCAAAGGTTATTTTCTGTTAGGGCCCAAACCATAGGGCTTAATTCATTCTCTCATAAGAAGTTTAGAGTGAAGCAGGGCTAGGATGCTTTGAGATCTCCAATATGTTAGGCAAGAGGACTCCGGGTGTCTTCTGTCTCCTTCTGTGATGCTGGCTTCCTTACTTATGTTCCATAATGACAACTCCAGGCATGGCATCTTCATTCCAACAATGCAAGAGAAAATCCTCCTGGAGTCCTAGAGAATACTCCAGCTCACCTCTTATTGATCAGACTTCATTCATTTAAGCCACATCTTGCCTTAAGGATGGCTAGGTACATTGCCTAAGGTTAATAAGCAAGAAGGAAAAGTATGTTGGGAGGCAACTGGTAGTTTGTCTCACAAACAAGCACCTAAAAATTATTGCAAATTATTTTTACCAGAACTGATACTTTGCTTTGAAAGTAAGAATATATTATCGAACTCTGGATTCACATCAAATATTACTCATCAGCACTATTTAAACCTCAGAGATGATGAGATATGGGATAATTTTTTCTAGTATACACAATATTACTTGCTTTTCCAAGGCAAAAAACAAAAAGCATTTTCAAGAAGTTATTTTCAGATTTATAAGAAAATAAACTAATAGGAAAATGAGGGTGGATTTTTGTGAATTTTTAAGATGACTTGCCTCATAGGCCAATGATGTATAACTAAACTTTTGAATCATTTAATCCTTATTACAAGATTGTGTTTGGTTTTAGATGAATAAGAGTGAAATATTGGACAGAAATAGATTTTATAGTCTCTGTATCATGATTTTTAGCTCAACGTCACTGTTTGCAGAAAATTTCATGCTGAAAAACAGAAGCAATTAATGGATGAATATGACCAGATTTCTCCATCAAGTTCTCAGCCTGATAAGGGTAAGGCTACATTCACTTCTTTGTTCACATTCTTGCTTTCTGTGGTCTTTACGGACTGGCTTCTTCCACTGTAATGTCTTCCATGTCGTATGTGTATCAGTGCTACATTTTACTGTTGAATAATATTCCATTGTATGCGATAACCACATTTTGCTTATCTATTTAACAGTTGATGACCATTTGAGTTGCTTCTGCTTTTTAGCTTTTCCAAATAGTACAGCCGTGAACATTTTTGTACAAGTTTTTTTGTGAACACAAGCTTTCAGTTCTTTTGGCTGTGGGGTGTGTGTGTGTATATATATATAATGTGAGAGGTGGAATCGCTGGGTCATGTAATAAGCACGTGTTACTGGTGTTACTGTCAGGAACTGTCAAATTATTTCTGTACTATTTTACATTCCCATCAGCAAGGTCCTTGTTAACACTTAATAGCATCTCTTTTTGATCATACCCATCCTAATTTATATGTACTAAAATATTCTTATTCTCAAAAATTTTCAAACATCTTCAAAAGGAGAAACAGTGCAACAAATGAATATCATATACCCATTATCTGTTTTCAACAACTATCTTTAATCTTATTAATGACCTTATAAAAAAACAGCTTTATTGAGGTATATAGTTGACATACTATATAAATAAAAATATACAGTGTCACAGATATGGATATGGAGAATGATCACTGCAGTCTAGACATTGAACACACCATCACCCCCCAAAAAATGACCCTTTCTTTTCCCTTACTCCTGCCTCTTCCTACCTAAATCCCACCCAACCATTGTTATTTTAGATTTTCATTTTCTAGATTTGTTTTTGTGAATGGAATCATACAGTAGGCCTCTTTGACTTAATGTGTTTGAGATTCACCCATGTTGTTGGCTGTATTGCTATATTTACCTTTATCCCACTGTGTAGTTATAGCATTGTTTAATTTACTCACTCACTGGTTGATTGCCATTTGAATTTTTTTCCCTTTCTGGGGCTCTCACAAATAAAATCACTATAAACATCCATATGTAAGTATCTGGATAGACAGATACCACTCTTTGTTTTAGGCATTTACCTGAGAATAACTGGGTCTTTTGGTGGTGTGTGTTTGACTGACTTAGAGACTGTCCCATTGGGCACTCCTGTAGTGACACAGGAAGGGTCCAGGTGTTCCTCCTTCTCACCAACACTTGTATTGTCAGTCTTTCTCATGTCATCTATTGGGTATGATGAGCTGTCTCATCAAGTTTTAATTTATATTTGATGATTGATGACTTTAAACATCTTTTCATACGTCTTATTGACCATTTGTATATATCCTTTTCTGAAATATATGTTAAAATACTTTATATATATTTAGTCAGGTGTTGCATTTTTATTCTAGTCAAAATTTTATTTAAGTAGAGTGGGGATTTAAGTTTTCTAATTCAACAGGTTAGACTTCATAACACTTTGTTTTTACAAATTCCCAGAAAAAAAAAATAGCTGAGAGTTAGTGACTGGAGTGTCACATCAGACTTATGTTTCTGTAAAGGAAAAAAACATTTGGTTCTACCTGAATAACATCTCCTAATTTAGGATGCTATGGCACCCAAAACAACCAGCACATTATCCCACACTAAATACATCTTCTGCCATATTGGTACTTATGTGTGACTTGAGGAAAGGGAGGAAAAAACAGAAATCAGGAATAATTGTTGCCTCTCCCCCTCAACAAAGACTGGTTTATCTACCTAAGCATCTCTGCCTCAGCATGACGCCTCTAAGCATCAGCCTCCATTTTCTCCCTTACCCCACCCCCCAACCAGGATTTAAGAAAGAACAAACCATTGGGCATTCTAGAATGCTTTTCTCACCAATCGGAATTAACAAGCCCTTCACAGAAGGCACAGAACTCTGTGTCTTCCTCACACTCAATACTAAAAAGTAGTTTTCATCTCATAGCTGATTTTCTAATCCCCACCACCCCCAGACCATTTTACAAACAACCTTGTATTATTTAAGCCTTAGAGTGCACTCTAGTCAGGTGAGTATGTGTATTTATTTTATTTTGTTCATGTAAACTGAAGATTTAAAGATCAAATAACTTCTGTGGGTCTGTTACTTTTCTTAGAAAACATTATACAGGAACGGATTAATCAGAACTTGAGAAACTGTCTGAACATCCACATCAAGCCCCCACCACCAGTGTGTGGTTTTCACCCTTACAAGTTGTACATTTTTTTAGCTTTGCCAGCATCTGATTGGTCAATTACTTGCTGCCCTCTTCTGAGAAGTATTAAGTTGTGAGTCGCCTGGGAGATATTTGACCATCCTGATGCTGCTTTTTAAGATATCATGTCCTGATAGGCAACTTACACATTTCAGTAAGTTTGAATTTGTTGAGGCGTCTATTTTTTGAAATTCTTTTCAAGAGCAAAGGAAGTGTTCAGAATGGAATAATCTAGTAAGGATTTTCTTCCATCTTCTCTGCAGAAAATCCCTTTTTGTCAGGCTAATGAAGCATTCAAAGAAGACATATGACTCTTTCCAAGATGAACTTGAAGATTATATTAAAGTACAGAAAGCCAGAGGCTTAGAACCGAAGACTTGTTTCAGAAAGATGAGAGAGGACTATTTGGAGACCTGTAGGTACAAAGAAGAGATGGATTCCAGACCCCGGTACAGGATGTTTGATCAAAGACTCCCACCTGAAGCCATCCAGATGTACCCAGCATCATGCAGTGTCTCACCAAGCATGGAGAACCGCTTACCCCAGTGGTTACCAGCTCACAGCAGCAGGCTGAGACTAGACTCTCTGAGCTACCGTCCGTACACCAGGGACTATTTCTCCCAAAAGCCAGTACCCCTGCACCTTAGTCAGCAAGGATACAATTACGGCCCCTGCAGTGTAGAATCTGGAGGCTACAGGCACCTCTCCTCGGAAGGCAGCCCCAGAGCCTATCAAGCCAGTCACAAACAGAGCCATCTGATGAGAACAAGGTATCCAGAGGAGGAAGGTGGAGGAAGACCAGAGGAGGGACGGCCCAAGCATAAGAGGAAAAGAAATTGGGAGGATATGAATGTAGACAAACAGAAGAGCTTTTCCCAAAATAAGGCAGATGTGGAATCAGAAACTGCACAGGTCAGTACAGAAAAATTAAAGAATCGGAAGGAGAAAAAACCCCGAGATGTAGCCTCTAAGAAAGAGGAACGTAAGCGTAGAAAAGAGAAAAAGGAACAAGGCAAAGAAATGACCGAGGAGGAGATGCTGTGGGACCAGTCCATCCTTGGATATTAAAACCAATCTTTTCTCCTGAGGTTAAACTGAAAACATAGTTGAGGAGTTTGGTTTTATGATGTTCATGTTCAAATCACTCTTCTTATGTGAACGGGCACTTTAACTTCTAACAAAGGCCAAGTGAACAGGAAGCATTTAGTATGCATGCTCTCCAGCACAAAAGAGACTTTCCCTCATTTTCTAAAAGCACTGTTTCATTTTTTTTTTTAACATATAATGTAACCTCCCCTTATGAGAGTGGCTCTGCTTTCGTTCATCTAGATGCTATGATGGCGGGATTCTTTTCCCTTGGGAAATCAAAGTCAGAGGATTAATAGGCTTTGCAGAATCTATGTCTTGATTGGATTAGTTTGGGTTTTGAGTTGGGTGTCTTTCTGTGCATTGGTTTTTCTCTATGAAGCAATTTAGGTTATTCTAACATTGTTGGATCTACCTTGCAACATATTTTCTAGGTTGGAAAGTGGAAAATAAATAAAACATGATAATAGTTTAGGTTACTTATAGTATTAAAAGTTTCAAAGAGTCTTTCTATAATATCAGTTTATATTCTGAAAAGGTTTATAATAAAGACTTCTAATTTCTGAATGTTGTTGTTCTGTGTCCATGACCTGTTTGTAATGTGGGCCTTGTGTTACAGCATGTTAAGCTACTATTTGGGATCCTGCATCCTATATAGAGTCCTTGATTTGAGTCCTGGTTCCTTGCAAATGCACCTGGGAGGCAACAAATGATGGTTCAAGCACTTGGGACACTGCCACCCACATGAGAGACACAGAGTCTGGGCTCATAGCACTGGCTGTTGCAGGCATTTGGGGAGTGAACCAGAAAATGGAAAATCTCTCTACTTTCAAACACGTGAAAATTAAAATTAAAACCAATGGTCTGCTCCCAGCCAACAGTTATTTCCTTTTGAAGAAAGAGTGATAACTGGATAGATTGTGCTTTAGAGACAAATCTTTTTGAGAAATCATGCTTTAGTGTTGTAAAAATTCCTCTCTGCCAGGCCTTCTCAAAGTTAAACCCGGTTTTGAGGATAGAGACCTAAAACTGACCACAGTTTTTTCAACTAATTGAAACTGAAGAGAGAGAGAGAGGGAGAAGAAACTGAAAAGAGAAGAAAACTGTAACAACTAAAATGTCAGTAATTATTCTGTTTTGGAGTGGGTGTTGTAATGCAGCCCATTATGAGCTGACACTTGGGTTATCCATATTAGAGTGGTCAGTTCAAGTCCCCTGGGCTTTGCCTCGAATCCAGCTTCTGCTCATGCGCCTGGGAGGAATGATAATGACTCACTCAAGTACTTAGTTCTTGCCACCCACATGGGCTATCCCATGGAATTCCTGGCTCCTGGCCTCAGCCTGGCCCAGCTCCCCCTGTTGCAGCCATTTGGAGAGTGAATCAGCAAATTAAATAGTTCTCTCTTTCTCTAATTCTGCCTTTCAAATAAACAAGTAAATCTTTAAGAAATTTTCTGTTTTAGCAATACTATAACAATATTCATATACATATGTATATATAAACATATTCATATACATATATGTCACTAAGTGTTCTAGCCATTTGGGGAATGAATCAGAGAATTTAAGATTCTGTCATTCTGTCTTGCAAGTAAATCTTAAAAAAAATTATATCTTGGTGTCACCATGAGAATATTCAACAGCATACAAGATTACTAAGGTTGATTCTTCATAATGATTTTTATGTCAAGGATCAGTGGTTAGACAATTGAGTGTCAACACAGACTGAATATATCATGTAGAATGTGGAGCAGGGAAGAATACAAGTCCATGTGATGGCAGTGATGGTACTGAGGGAGACAGAACCATGGTTACGGTGCCAGGAGTGGGGAACATGTGGCCCTCCAGCCATCTAAGGCCCACAAAGTCATTTGGGTTGGCTCTGCTAAGTCATTTGGGACTCAAAGTTCAGTCAATCTATAGCAGGCTAACTTTTAAGTTGATAACCCACAAATGATGTTACAAATATACAAAAGACCTTTGGCAAAACAAAGGTTTCCCGTTCCTAGTAGTTTTCAAAAACCTTAAGTCAAATCTTTTACCATGTAAATGACCTTATTGTCCACCTCCTCCCTCCATATACAGATTCAAGCATAATTTTCTGGTTACGCTGAAGCCTCCAGGGGATATTTCTTTACATTTATGTCTCTAGGCACCTTCAAGGAGTATTTCTGTGGGAGCAGAACCTAAAATTAATAGAAGGATACAGGGAAGAAAATGATAGCCAAATTCAGAAAAAAGTAGAATCAGGGCTGGCAGTGTACCATAACGGGTTAATCCACAAACTGCAGTGCCAGCATATCATGGGCACCTGCTCAAGATCCAGCTGCTCCACTTCAAATGCAGCTCCCTGCTACTGTGCTTGAGAAAGCGATGGAAGACGGCCCAGGTCCCTGGATCCCTGCCACCCACGTGTGAGACTCAGAGAAGGGTCCTGGTTCCTATCTTCAGCCTGGCCTCTCCCTGATCGTTGCAGCTCCTTGGGGAATGAACCAGCAAGTTGAACATCTCTGCTTCTCTGCCTTTCAAATAAAAAAGTAGAACTGACTAATTTGGATAAGAACTAGGAGCCCACATGTCTGCATTGTACCAGGAAGGCACCTGAGTAAAAGGGTTAGTACTTGAGCTGTCTTCCTCAGGTTAGAGATCCAGGGGAAGTCAGGCAGCCAAAGGAGAAGCAGTCCCAGGTATGACAAGCAAAGCAGCATGGGAAACAGTAACTGAGGGGACCAGGAGGAACTCACTGAGTAGGAACAGGCCTGGGCTAAGACATCACAAGAGATGGGTACTGGTTCCAATTCTGGCAGCCCTGCTTCCCATCCAGCTCCCTGCTTGTTGGCCTGGAAGAGCAGTCGAGGACAACCCTTGGGACCCTTCACCCACACAGGAGATCTGGAGGAGCCTCCAGGCCCCTGGCTTTGGATCTGCGGAGCTCGGGCCGTTGCAGCCACTTGGGGAGTGAACCAATGAACGGAAGATCTTCCTCCCTGTCTCTCATTTATATCTGACTTTCCAATAAAAATAAATAAATCCTCAGACATCACAAGAGACACCTAATCAGATGTGCACAGAGAATCAGCTCCTGTCTTCAGTGAAAAAGAGGTACCACATGTGTCATGGTCCAAATTTACCAAATTAAATTTTCCATGAGAAGCTATAACAAGTCATTGGAATTAGGGCTAGAAAGAAAGCCAGTCACCCGGAACCATACTAAAGAACTTGGATTGCCTTGAGACTGTGAGAAACCACTAAAGGCTCTAAGCCAGTTCCAGTTTTCTTTTTAAAAGACCACTTTGTGGGGCTGCCACTGTGGCTCATTGGCTAATAATCCTCCACCCTTCAAGTGCCAGCATCGCATATGGTGCTAGTTAGTGTCCCAGCTACTGCACTTCCCATTCAGCCCCATGCTCATGGCCAGGGAAAGCAGTGGAAGATGGCCCAAAGCCTTGGGACCTTGCACCCATGTGGGAGACCCAGTGGAGATTCCTGGCATCTGGCTTCAGATTGGCCCAGCTCCAGCTGTTGTGACCATTTGAGGAGTGAACCAATGGAAGGAAGATCTTTCTGTCTGTAAATCTGCTTTTCCAATAAAAAAAAATTTAAGAAGAAGAAAAAAAAAACCACTTTCTACACCATCTGAGCCTTCCCATACTGGGCCTATTCCAACACGGTCTGATCCTGTTACCTCTCTGACGCTGTTCTTCCAAGGGCTCCAGTTGACAAAGCTAATGCACACTTTTGTTTACTTCAACTCAGCCCTTGAGGAGCCAGTCCCTCTTCCTCTCTTGGCTTCCCCAGTGCTGCCGTCTTCATGTATCTCTGTCCCAACTATCTGCCAGTGCATCCTGAGCAGAGCGCTGGGATCCACGCATTTCTAATATCTTATCCTAATTGACTCGTCCAAACCCACAGCTTCAATTTGACCTGTATGTTGCCAACCTCCACATTTCTGTTTACACTTGACCTTCCCCCCTGAGATCCAGTCTCCCCAACCGCCTTCCTTGATGTTTCTACTCGGAAAGCCAACTGAGTGCTCACTTGCCTCATCACCAGTCATGCTTTTCTCCATCTTTCCCATCTCTAGAAATAGTTAACACCAACTAAATTGTTCAAGGCCAACATTGCTCCAATTATCCTTTCCTGTCTTCTCCATCATCAGACCATGAGCAATTCCTCCCGGTTACCACCAAATTATCTCTCCTTTATTCAACTCCCTCCATCGTCATTGCTACCAACCTATTCCAGACATTTATCCCCATACTGAGCTGGACAAACAGATCTGAAATTATTTGCAAAACTGGAAGAAATACACAGGGTCTTGGGTATGGGTAAATGCAAGGAAGGTTCCAGGTAACGCTAAAAGCATCAAGAAGAGAGTATCCCTGGTGAGCTAGGCATGAAAACTAGAAACAGGAAGGCCTGCTGAGCCAGGCTTAGCCCCGAGAGGGCGAGATAGAGCCAGTCTGAACCTCAAAGAGCTGAAACTGGGAAAGAACTGTAGTCTAGTCCCCTCAACAGAAATATCCTTCCTCTAGTCCAAGGTGACACATTTCATTTGCATTTTGGAAAGAAGGGGGAGAATATGATCTAGCCCCATGTTAAGTTGCAAGAAAAAGGTAAAAGTAAATAATTTTTTTCTTTAACTTTCATTTATTTGAAAGAACAACATAAACAGAGATCTGGGCCCAGTGCAATGGCTCAACTGGCTAATCCTCCACCTCCAAGCACTTCCAGTTTACTGAAAAATAAAAAGTAGTTCAGGATGGATAGTTAGCCGAGCGGTTAAGACATCATCCCACCATCCCAGTACTTTGGTTTGACTCCCACCTCCGATTCCCGATTCCCGACACAAATCCTGGGAGACAGCATGTCATGGTTCAAGTGGCAGGTCCCTGCCACCCACACAGGAGACCTGGATTGAGTTCCTGGCCCCAGCCCAGCCGCAGCTGTTTTGGGCACTGAGGAGCATCTACCACGTGAGAGCCAATGCTATTGTTTTTCCACCTCTCAAATACAGTGCAGTAAAGAAACAACAGTTACATTGCTTTTTTTCTACCAGAAATATTATTTAAGAATCACATTTGAGAGACACATAGCATCTACATCTGTTCAGACTGCTATGGCAAAGTCTCGCAAAGCATGTAGCTTCTATTTTTTTTAAAAGATTTATTTATTTTGATCGGAAAGTCAAATATACAGAAAGGAGGAGAGACAGAAAGGAAGATCTTCCGTCCATTGGTTCACTCCCCAAGCAGCCACAACGGCTGGATTAGTGCCAATCCAAAGCCAGGAGCCTGGAGCCTCTTCTGCGTCTCCCACATGGATACAGGGTCCCAAGGCTTTGGGCCGTCCTCGACTGCTCTCTCAGGCCACAAGCAGGGAGCTAGATGGGAAGCAGGGCCACCAGGGCACGCCCCCAGCCCCCCCCCCCGCTGGCATATGGGATGCTGGCGAGTGCAAGATAAGGAAATTAGCTGCTAGGCTACTGCACTGGGCCCAAAGCAAGTAGCTTCTTTTTTTTTTTTTTTTTTGAAGATTTTATTTTATTCTTATTGAAAAGGCAGATA